ATGGCGCTGTTGTCTCGCCGAAACGTAATGAAATAAACGATATTCAAAATTTTTACTTCACACTTTGACTGAGACCCAGGAAAGATAAGAATATAACAACAAGTACACGCAGTCAGGAAAATAAATTAGAATAGTTTACTACAGAACAAGAGATAAGTTAACAAAACTAGGGTTACCCACACTCGCAATTGGAAGCCCCATCGAACCATGCTGCTAGAAAAATTGGGCGTTTATATTTAAAATAAGGAAGTTATATTATACGTTTCAAACACCCTGTACAGCTTCGGCACGACTCACTAATGAACAATCTACGTAAATCACCCAGTCGAGAAGGCTTCGTTTATAATATATAATCAATCATGCGTCTTTCCATGTTCCATTAATCATAATTAATTTTCCTCTTGTAATCCTAATGAGAGTTTGGCACTTTTAATAGGCCTCATTTTCTATTTTTAATACTTTAAGAAAACATTTAAGCCAGGATTTTATTAAGTTACAGTCCACAGCCCGCGAACAGAATTCCAATTTTAAGAAGAACATAAAATACCCGGCCGGTTTTTTCATAGCTCCGAACATACGAGCGGTTCTTTGTGTGTTGGAATCGAAGACGATCAATCTATCAAAGTATTCAAATATCGAACTTGCATTTTTCATGCATCGCCCTTTGTCGCCGGAACTAAAAAACGAAAGAAAAACAAAGGAATTCGTTCGTTATTTTTAATGTTTTAAAGGTGCCGGTGTTTACAGAATCTGTTCAGTGTAAGAACCTGAAGCTTTTCAGCTCTGTTTGATTGTCGCGAAATAAATGTTTCAACCGTTTTCTATGTCCGCCAATGCGCCCTTTGCATCCCTTAAGAATTATCATCAGTTGAATAGAAAATTACCAATTATTTAGCTTCAGTCTTCAATACTAAGTCGGGCCCCTAAATTTTGAAAACGGTAATAAATAGACAATCGAATTCTGCCCAATTTTGTTCATTTAACGGATTCTCTATGTTTAAAAATGTAGAAGTTACCCATACAAAGATTCAGAAAATTGCCACCCCGTACACTTGCTTTGGACAGGAGAATGTGCTCGGACGTGTCTGTCCTGAACCGCTTCAACACGGGCAGTGACCACAGGCTTGTGAGAGCAAGAACAGAAATTAACACTCGTCTCGAGCGAAAGATGTTAATTTCAAAAACTATAAAACCATATAGATAGTTTCATCGTTTTCTGTTTTATAGAAAACAGAAAAGAAAGGAGAATACAATAGGCAAATAGAAAGGAAAAATATCGAATATCAGCTAAATAAACAGAACTAAACACCAGAATTACCAACACAATCAGAGAAGCCACAAGAAGGCTTGCACTCTTAAGGCAAAGAAAATCGATAAACTCAGTGTCAACACAGCCCAGCTAATAAATCAGCGTCGGAACAGACACAGGGATGCACAATGATTTGAAACATTGAGCAAGCAAGTAAAATCAGCAATACGAAGGGATATACGAGCGCACAACACACAACATATTATCGATGCCATGGAGTACTACGCTCAAAGAGAGCTAAAGGAAAGAAGGTCATCCATAAGATGAAGAACAATCTGGGAGAAATAGTTACAGATGAAACAGATTTAGTGTCTATCAGACCGAACTTCTACCAAACCCTGTACAGCCAGTCAGTCCAACAGCCAAAACAAATAAAACAAAAAGCGATCATTCTGAACTCAGAAGCTCAGCTCAGAAGAAATTCCAGAAATAGATGATCCTGAGCTCATAGCATCGCTAAACTCAATAAAAAATTGTAAAACACCTGGAGAGGATCGCGTCACGTGCGAAATAATAAAAACTGGATCAGAAACGCTGGAAAAGGCAATGCTTATATTGCTGAACAAATGTCTCAAAAAGGGCAAGACACCGGAATTGTGGCAAAATGCCTAGGTAATACTCATATTTAAAGGTGACTCTAAAAACGTCGAAAATTACCGCCCAATTAGCTTGCTAACTACATTATTCAAACTGATGACGAAGATACTAACAAATCGCATGAACAGTAAATTCTACTTCTACCAGCCTATAGAGCAGGCCGGTTTTAGGAAATGATACGGCACAGTCAACCATATTCAAGTCCGTGGTTCGAGTTAAAGTGGTCAGCACACTGATAGAGAAATGCTGCAAAAAACACCTCTTCAGGATGGGACTGAACGATCAACCGACCTGCAGGGGTTGCGAATTAGAGGACGAAACTACCTTGCATGTTATGTGACACTGCACGTCATATGCAACAGGTAAACGAAGACTCCTGGGAGGGGATGACATTCCACCAGACCAGATCATGCGAACTCCCCTCAAGATTCTTCTGGAATTCATTGAATATACAGGGATAATGAGGGAGTAAAATTACGAGGGCACAATAAAATAGAAATGACCGCGGTGCAAGGCCAAACACCACCTCGGCGGTGAGGAAAGGGTTTTAGTGGCTAAACAGCTTAGCTAGACTCCCACACAACCCAAAGCGACAGACCACCAGCTCTGGGAGTGCATAAAAGAGCATTTCCCAAACCTCACCGGAAAAAAAAAATGGACGGAAAGTATCTAAACCATTTACGTTTCGCAGACGACATTGTAATTATGAGCCAAGATATAAACGAAATGACGGAAATCGTGAACGAACTTCGGCAAGCTTCAAAAGATGTAGATCTGCAGATAAACTTCCAGAAGACCAAAATCTTCTCTCAAGAAAATGTTCAAATAACATTAAATAACCACCACTTGGAAACCGTGAAGCAGGACATCTATCTGGGACATAGTATTAAGTTAAGGGCAGGGACAACCAAACAGCGGAAGTCAGAAGGAGAATCGATTTGACTTGGACTGCTGCCTTTGGCAAGCTAAACCGTATTTTCAGAGACCGTAGACCGAAATCCCAATTTGCCTCAAGAGGAAAGTGTACGATGCGTGCATTATCCCCGGAACCATCACTCTCACGGTCAACAGCATAACCCGTTTAAGTGTTTGTCAGAGAGCAATAGAGCAAGCGATGCTCAGTATCAGCCTGAGAGATAGAGCGCGCAATAAGGAAATTCGCAGAAGCACTGGAGTGTCGGATGTCATAGAACAAATTGCAAGATTGGAATGGCAATGGGAAGGTCATGTTGCCCGAGATGACGTGAAATGGACGAAGAAAATAATGCAGTGGAGGCCCATAGAGACGAAAAGGAATGTTGATAGACCCCAGGCGAGATGGCGGAATGACCTACAGCTGCTGACCGGGAAGAACTGGGTGCACACCACCCAAAACAGGTTGACCTGAAAAAGGATGGAGGATGCCCATGTTCAGCAGTGGACGTCTAAAGACTGAAGAAGAAGAATATTTGACGGAGTATTAGGATTAACCGATTTAACGGAAACAAAGTTCTATATCGATTTAATAAATAAAAAACTTTTAGCACAAAATATCATCATTCCATTTACACAGAACACGAAGTGAAGTTAAGTTTTCAATATCTCCAAACCCCCAAGAAAGAATCGGAAAAAACGTACTCGTAAACATACTTTTTTTTAATTATTTATTTACCCAGTACATTTACAATCTGTCCGCTAAACAATAAGTAAATCCTATGTCATTTTCTCACAACAGAGAACAGCATATTTAGATGTACACCCAGTGGCAACACCCTTGTCACTTTAATTCAATGAATTAGTTATGTTCAGGGCAAGTTAATTTGTCTGCACACCACGAGAATGCATTGCAATCTAAATCTTCTAATCAAATCTGGAGGTTTAAATCTCTTTAGTCTTCGTATTTCAGGTTGGATGGTCATCAAGTTAGTTGTCAATTGATTTGGATGTGCACTAATCCTGTCTTTGTATTTGGCACTAAATGTACTGATTTCCTCTTTGACGGTTGGGATGTTAAGATCTTTTCGGATGGTCTCATTTGGGATTAACCATGGTACATTCACCATATTTCTTAGCATCTTTGCTTGTAATCTCTCCAAAATTGCAATATTTGAGTTGGATGCTGAACCCCACAGTTGAATTCCGTATGTCCAGACGGGTTTAATTATTGCTTTATAGACAAGTAGTTTATTTTCTAGTGAGAGTTTCGATCCTTTGCCAATCAGCCAGTACATTTTCTGATATTGTAGGTTGAGTTGCAACAGCAGTTGCAGTTGCGCAAATGCTGTTACTAATCACAATCTCGTAATGGCAAAAATAAGAGTCACGACATACCAAATAAAGAAAAAACAGAAAGAAAGAACCAGTAAACTCCATATGGAGGCACTAGCAAATTATTCTACGAAACATCTACCAACAAAGACTGAAACAGAAGATTGCAAATAATGGGATAAAAAATGACGACGACGTGGAAATGGCATGGAATGAATTACGCACAAATCTACTAAATGCAGCCGAAGAAGCACTTGAAAGAAGAACTAAAACCAGAACCGGAAAACGAAACACTAAACCTTGGTTTAAACAAGAGGTAAAGAACTTAGCAGCTGAAAAGCGAAAAGCGTACCTGCAATACCGATCGAACACAATTACGTACGAGGTCTATAAAGCGGTTAGAAACCGGGTCAATGCAGAAATCCAGTCAATTAAACGACAGCATTGGGAAAAATTATCTGCCGATATGGAACACGACCTATATGGAGGACAGAAAAGAATCTGGAATATGCTAAGAAATAGAAAAAGACCAGTTAACGAATATATCCAAATTACAAAGATCACTACTGAAGACTGGGAAAAACACTTTGAACAACTCTACCGTAATAAAGAGGAAAACACGGAGACCAAGGAGACACCCACAAATGAAGAAACGCCACCAACTTGGCAGATACCGATAGAGGAAATCAAACAAACGGCAACCGCTCTAAAAAAACAGAAAATCACCTGTATAGACGAGATAACGAACGAAATGATCAAGTATGGAGGGAATGCACTCATGGATGAATTAAAAGATTTTTACAATAAAATATTATATCTACAAAAGGTACCTTCAGAATGGAAGGACAGCATAACAATCCCAATCTTCAAGAAAGGAGAGAAAACAGAACCCAAAAACTATAGAGGAATCACCCTTCACAGCACAGTTTCGAAGCTGTTGACAAAAATATTGGCAGAAGAAGTGACCAACACGGGAATATGTGAGGAGCAGCAAGGTTTCAGACACAATAGATCCACTATAGATGCCATACTCACACTCCGCCAAATAGCCGAAAAAGCTATTGAATTCAACAAACCGGCGTTCATGTGTTTCATAGATCTTAGCCAAGCATTTGATAAAGTAAGACTGACAGACGTCATAAAACTCCTAGAAGAAAGGAAAATTCATCAGAATATTGTGTCCATCATCAGAGAGCTAAACACCGGCAATCACACACTCGTAAAAGCAGAAAATAGAACAACAAGGAGAATACCCGTCAACACAGGAATTAGACAAGGAGACAGCCTAAGCCCTATATTGTTTAACATCATCATGGATGAAATCATTACAAAAACAAAATAGATTGGAAGGGGATATCGAATGGGAAATGCAGAAATAAAACTAATGAGCTACGCTGATGATGCAGTGATAGTCTCCGAGGATGAAGACAACCTACAAAGACTGTTATATAAGTTCAAACAAACTACAAATAAATATAAAATGGAAATATCTACCCGGAAAACACAATCACTCTCTATATCCACAGAGCCCCGAAGATGCAAACTCGCCGTTTACAACCAAAGTGTAGAACAGGTGATGACCTTTAAATATCTTGGAGCAAACATCACGAGTAACAGGAATCTAAAGAAGGAAGTAAGGAATCAAACATCAATAGCCGCTCTAATGTCGGGGTACTTACGAGACATCATCTGGAGAAACAAGCACATCAGTATAGGGAGTAAAGTCAGAATCCACAAAACGTGCGTGAGACCAGTGATGACATACGCCGCAGAAACAAGAGAGGAAAACACAACAACCAAACGCTTGCTAAGAACAACAGAAATGCGAGTCCTAAGATCCATAACAGGACACACACTATACAATATGAAAAGAACTGAGGTAATTAGAGATACCTGTAAGGTTTCGGATGTTGTAAGATGGACCAGAGCAAGGAGAAGAGCGTGGAGAGACCATGTAGAGAGTTCAAAAACCTAACAGCTCAAGACTCCCAGGAAGACCACTGAAACGATGGTACGAAAGCTGGACATCAGCATCCCAGGACTAGGAAGTTGAAGAAAAACGCAGGACTCTGAGTCCTAACGTACGAGGAAGAAGAAGAAGAAGGAAAGGGTTTAGATACTTTTTTAAGATGTTCCGCAAATATGTTTGCTTTTTCACTATCTGTTTTGGCCTATTTTCCCTGTCCTATTCTAATTGGCGGGTTGTGATTTTGAGGCCGGTTCATACTTCGCGTTGCCTTCCATAATGAATAATCTGTAGCCTGTGTTGCAGTTAGACTTTCCAGATGTTCTTGTATTGCTGCATTTTTTTCATCGTTCAGTAGCTCTTTTAGGTTTTTTATAGCTTTGTTGAACTTTGCTTTATCGTGTGGAGATCTTGTTATTTGCCAGTTCTTTCGTAATTTATGCTTTTATGCAATTTTGTATTTAACTCTTCTCGAGCAGGACGGAATTTTTCTTGCTGTCTCACATTTTGGGGTAGCTTCCCAGGCAGCTTGTTGTATCGTTATGTTAATTTTCTCTGTTGCTGTTTCGATTTCTTCTTCTGTTTTTAGTGACACATTATGGTTAACTCGTTCGTTCAGTATGTTTCTGAATTTGTTGCAGTTGATTTTATTATTACAAAGTGATGGAGGTTTTAGTTTATTTAGTATATTGCGTGAGCTGAGTGACACTAATATAGGGGAGCGGTCAGATGATAGATCCAGGCACGATTCAGCTTTTATGGTATTTATTGGTATTCCTCTGGTTACCAACCAGATCAGGAATTTTTCTGCGGTCTGCCGGCCAGTAGGTGGGCTCTCCTGTTGACACCGTTTGGACATTATCTTTTTTCAGGGCTAGATATAGTTGCCTACCTTTTGGTGTTGGGTTATGTGATCTAGAGCCCCACCAAGGGTGTTTAGCATTATAATCTCCTCCCGCAATGATTCTATTACCGAGTGTTTTGAAGAATTGGTTAAATTTCTCCTGGTTGATTGCACATTTAGGTGGGTAGTAGACAGCTGTTAGTGTGATAGACCCATTCCAGTCCTCTACGCAGACGCTGGTTGCTTGTAGATGTTTTTGTTTAAATTGCTCTTTTTCATTGTGTTTTATTGATGTTTTTATTACGATTGCAGTTCCTCCGTATGCCGCACCATCCGGGCATTGTGTGCTGTAAATACTGTACCCTGGTATCTTCATATAACTCTTTTTAGTAAAATGTGTTTCCGAAATCATCATAACGTCAATGTTTTGATTGGTTAGAAATGTTTTAAGTTCTGGTCCTCTTTGGACCAGACCATTGGCATTCCAGGCTGCGATTTGAGCGTTGAATTCATTATGGTATTTTTGAAATGAGGGCTGTGAGAAGGTTTAATATGGTGTCCAGTATTCTATCTTGCTTTCTTTGGTATGTGTAAAATTCTGTATTTTTTTCTTTTAGGGCATCTACAACAGGCATGGCATTAATCATTTGAATTTTAACTTGCTTATTATATAAAATTTTTAGTGTATTACCATCTTTTGCTATTTCGTTTAGCTTAGTATATAGTGGTTTTATATCTCCCACTCTACTCACAAATATTGGTGGTGGTTTTTCAACTTGTTTAGGCGCATTGTTTGTTTCGCTATGTGTAGGTTCTTCTTGTTCTTGTTGCAACTGATCAAAACGATTTGATGTACTCACCGGTTGGCGTAGCCAATAATATTTCATGAAGGTTTGGCGTTTAGCTCTAGAGGGTTCTTCTGGGCTGCCCCTTAGTGGCTTTTTACTATGATATGTAACACATTCCCATATTCTTGGTGGTGGTTCTTGAATCGACGGGTCAGACGATTGTCCAGTTCCTGTTGCTCTTGTTCACAATAAAAGTTTAATTTAGTTTGCTTACCTTCATTAGCACCAACAGTAACACTGAGAGTATCAGCAGTGGTGTTTGCGGTGACATAGTGTGAGGAAATGTTACCTTCTTCGCATTTGTGGCAAATCCATTGTTCGACTATTCTATTTCTATTCAGTTCGCTCATAGTGTCAAGAGTCATTCCGATACACTTTATACAGTAGATTGTTCCGCATTTAATTTTGCATTGGATCAAGTCTTCATATTTTGTTGTAGCATGTTTACATTTTCCACACAACATCGTGCACAAAGGTTTATCACTTGAAGGAATTTAACTTTAAAAACACAATATCAGCTCGACAGCAATGCTCGACCGTTCGAGCGAAAACTTTGTAAACATACTTGAATGCAAATTCTAACAAAGCCGTCAAAAATAAATAATAAAATTTTTGATCCACAAATTTTAACACACGCTTCTTTCAGACGGATTTGCACCTATTGAAATCCAAAACTACATTGATCAATTTGTATCTTTCACCTTGAAAGAACGGTTTCCAGTTGAGTCTTTTGAACCCGATCACGAATTGAACACTTTTGAAAATGTAGTTCAAAATTTCACAACAAAAAACCAACCATGACAAAAATCCAAATAATGAAATTCCTCTTCGAACTAAAGACATGAATTCCGAAGAAAAATTAGTAATTCTCGAACTGTGCAAAAACTTTACTGATATCTTTCACAAAACCAGTAATCCATTAACTTTCACCTCGAAGGTAAAACATGCAATTAGGACAACGGATTATCTTCCCATACCCATCCGTTCATAAGGACGAAATACTTGAAAAATTCATAATAAGACCTATGTTAAGGAATCGTTAGTCGTTAGTGCTGTTAAAATAATTGAGAGTAGAATTTAAATAATTTAAGTTCGAAATACCAGTAGCAATGGGTTTTGTTAGTAAACAAAAAAGTAGTTATTGATAGTGACTCGATTATAAAAAAGGCACAAATAAAGTATCGTAAAAAATACCCAGTGGTCGTCATTATAATTATAAAATAAATACAGTCCACTTTGAGTGCCAAATAAAGGCATTTCAAAACATTTTGGTCCTTCGAGCCGGATAAAGAACCTTATTTTGGCTGGTGCCAGGGTGTTAAAGCTGAAAGTAGGTGAAGTTCGGGAACCGGCAATACCTAACAGTGCAGTGGTAAATAAGAAGGTTGACCGGAAACCGAAATTGTGCGAGTAATCAGAGTGAAATCGAGTGAAGTCCGGAGCTTGTAGAGTGCTGGAAGTTCGGAAACAACGTTGGATCGATTGGAATTGGAGGTTGCGGTCGCCACCTGCTAGGAGCAGCATCAAATTGCTGAGGATAACAGAGCTTACAGAGGTATTCTTTGGGGTGCAGCGCAGGACCGTATTGTAAGTCGATCAATTTCGTATTTTTGGTTGTAAGTGGTCTCTATTTGAGTCAGAATGGCAAACTTATCTGAACTTAGAATAAAAAGGGGTTATATTAAGGGCAGGTTAACAAGGTTTATAACACATTTCGATAATCTAGATTTACCCAAAAGTACTGACAGGGATTGGTCCATATTAAGCTATAAATTGGAGAAGTTTGAACCCGTCTGGGATGAATTTATGGTATTTCAGAATCAAATAGAAATTAAGAGCCATGGAACTGAGGAATATGATTTGGAAATGGAAAAAAGGGAGAAATTTGAAAACTTGAAAAAAATTTTGATTTTTGCGAATTAGTGACAGACATAAACCACGCATTACAAAAATACGTCGTGCCGGGTAGTAACAATCTTATTCGAAACACTTGGGCTGGGTGCGGGTTCTGGAAAAAATAACAGTAATGAAGGTAATGTGCCATCATTAGTGAAATTGCAACCAATTCAGATTCCTACCTTTGATGGGCAATACAGTAATTGGCTGGATTTCAAGGAAGTGTTTACTGCATTAGTACATAATAATTCAATATTACCAGATTTGCAAAGATTTTACTATCTGAAAACTTCGTTGAAGAGCAATGTTTTGGAATTACTCAAGACAATTGAAGTGTCCGATAGCAATTATAGTGTAGCATGGCAATTGCTCGTCAAAAGGTATGAGAATAAGAAACTGATAGTGCATAACCATATAAGCGCCATTTTCGATTATCCCAGTGTAAAAAAGGAAAATCGTAAAGAATTGAGAAAGAGAGTCTGAACGATAGTATGACCAAACATCTTAGGTCTTTAAAAAATTTGGGGTTAGATGTAGATTAGATACTGCCTGGGATCCTTTGATTATTTATTTAATATCAGACAAATTAGATCTCTTTACTCGCAAGGAATGGGAGTCTTTTAAATGACAATGAATTGTGGTAACACATACATAGGCCAAACTGGACAATATCTAAAAAAAAGAATATACGAACATAAGTATAGGCTAAAAATAAAAAAATTGCCCAAAAGCAAGAAAAAGCCAAGACAGCCAGCTTACAAAACAAAGTTTCGCCTGGCATCTCCTACGCCGCCAAAGCTTCCGAAGCCCAGGCTCAAGCACCCCCAAAGCCCACCGTTTCAAACCCCCCCGATCAAGCTGCCCAAAAACATTACATACCCGACATTACTCGCTGGAGATTTGAACTCCAAAAACACTTTCTGGGGCTGCAGGAAAACAAACCCTGAGGAGCGCAAGCTCCTCAACTACGCACAAGACTTACAATTCCAAATTCATGCTCTCTCAGAGCCAACACACTATGACCACAATACCCCCGACATTCTCGACATTGCCATCTCCAAAGACATTTACCACATCCTCCACGTTGCAAACTCAGATTCCCTTAGTTCTGACCACAACCCTATCATTATCAATATTAACGAACAGTACACTAACAACCCTTTAGCCCCAATTTCTTACACAGACTGGGACGCCCTTGCATACCACCTTGGAGAGGCTCAAATC